AGGGGCTAGTCAAGAGAAAAGGATAGAGGCGTCCGGGAAATGAATAGGAGGGAAAAAAATAGCTTAAAAGGACGGAGCTTTGAATGGGGGGGAGTTGTGAGTGGACAGGGGGGGGGGAGGCTCGGCGTTGTCGCCATCACTGTGAATGTGAGCAGGGTGAAATGCAGGGAGCTGCTGGGGACGGCAGCACGGCTGGGTGCTGTGCTGGGGATGAGGACACGCTCCTGGTGCCACATGCAGGGTGCTGGGTGCTGCTCACTGCTCCTCCTGAGGGCACTGGGGACTCCAAGCCCTGACCCTACTGATGCTGCACAGAGCAGACAGGGCCATGGGATCCTCTGGCCTGGGGGGTTTCCTGGTGCATGCTCCAAAGTGCTGAGGTTGCTGCAAGATCCCACTGCTCACCATGGGGCACTTTGCATGCCTGCAGCGTCAGCCCCTCTGCCAGCTCCCCAGCTTTAGGTGTCACTATGGGAAATCAGGGAGCTGCCACTCCGTTCTTGTGGCTTTGCTGTAGGAGAGCCTGACACACTGCAGCATCCCAGTGAGAGCTCCTGTGCATGTGGGGTGAACTGCCAGGGGTCTGGTCTTGTGCAGAGAACCTGGGAGGATTCTGGGCACGTTTGGAGCCCATCTTTGCAATTGCATCATATGTGATAACATTACTTTTGGCTGGGGATAGGTGAGACGTGTTTTGCTAGCTGGAGAAAACAAGAAATGAGGTTGCAGTGCACTCCCAGAGGTGAATGGTGCTGTTTCCAGGCACTCTCCTCCTCTGCACCTCTCATTTCCAGCCAGAGCTGCATAGTTCCTTTAGGCCTTGTGCAAAGGCTCAGCACACCATCCAGCTCCCAGCAATGTTCTGCAGATCTGCCAGCTGCTGCAGCATTCCCCAGAGCAGGGCACTCATCCAGCAGAGCTGGGTGCACCTACAGTGGGGCTGGTGAGTGTTGGGTTGGGCAGAGGCAAGAATGGACTTGGCGGATCTGCAGCAAACAGCCAATGCTGTGTCTGGGTGTCTGTGACTCTGTGAGCTACTGTGTGCTGCCAGAGCTGCTGCCCAGGTCAGGTGTGGTGCAGAAAGGAAAGCGCCTACCTTGAAAGCAGCAGTCCCTGAGCAGCACTAAGCATGTGTTGAATTCAGGCTCAGCAAAGAGTTTCCAGCCCATGCAGTTGTCCCAGCACCCCTTCCTGTCACCCACACAGCTGCCCAGCGTCCCCTCTGTCCGCCCATCCCTCTCTGCCTCCCTGGCCACACTCCCATTCCCCTTTCTTCCAACCCCTTCCATCCTCATTCTCTCCTTCCATTCCCATCAACCCTTTCATCCATCCCCATCTCACCTGCTGGCCCCAGATCCCCTCTGTAACCCCATCCCTCCATCCAAGCAGCCTCCCCCACCTCTGCTGCCCTCCCCAGAGAAAACCAAACCAGGACAGTGCTGTGGTCAGCAAGAGCAAGCTGATAACAGAAGAACTGCCTTACATCCCTATCTCTGCCTCCCACTCTTTGTGAGCTCCACTGGGGGACAGCGATCGTGGGAGCACTGCAGGAACGGGACGGCAGCCTCCAACGGCAGCAGAGGAGGGATCTGAACCTTCACAACCAGGTGCGGCTCAGTCCCACATCCTACATCACAGTGGGTTTGGGCCACGGCAAAATGGGATGATATCAGAGGGCCCTGTGGGATGTGTCTGCAGGGCCTCATGTGCTCCGGCCCTGAGGTGCTGCTACAGGCAGTGTGCTGCGGCCACCCCACCGCCCCACTGTGCTCACATCAAGGGTTGTCACCCCAGCAGTGGGCGACTGGTGACTGAGAAGTGGCAAAGTGCTGATGCTGGGAAGGAGGAGAGCTGGGCCAGGCAGGCTGAGCTGCTGCCTCCTCCCCAGCACCCAATTGTGGTTTTCAAAAAGGTAACTCCTATTCGGATCTCCGGGCTGTGGCATTATCATAGTCATACAAATGCCCAACAAAGCATCTATTTAAAATGTACTGAATTTTGATTACGGCCCGTCCCCTCTCGCTCGCTCGCTGTCTTTCTTTCTCATTCATTACTTACTGTGTTAAGCTCCCCAAAATTCAAATAAAATCCCACCTCCTCCCCCCCCCCCAACCCATATGCGCTGTTTGATTCAGCTCTGATGTCTGGGCTTGACAAATGAAGGCGAATATAAGAGAAGACAAAGCTGTCAAACTTCTCGGGGCTCTGTTGACTTCCCATCACCCCTGCGGACGGACAGGAGACCGATCCATCTGTTTTGGAGTCAGTAGCACAAACAAAAGCAAAAGACAATGGCAGGAAGCACTTGAAAGTTCAAATTCTTTCTTTGGTTTCTCTTGGAACAACAGAACCTACGTAATGTGGCCAGCGGACAATAACACGCAGCCAGGGACACACAAAAATGCCAGAAGAATGTGCTTACGACACAAAACGTTCCAATATTTTTGTTTCATTGGAACAGAAATAGAAAGGGAAAAAAAAAAAAAAGAAAAGAAAAGCAGAGTGAGCCTTTGGAGTTCCTAGATTTCTTGGACTGGGTTTCTTTAGAGACGAGCGCTGCAAAGCGGGGCGGTGCAGGCAGTGCAGTGGGGCCGGGGGCAGCTGAGGGCTGAGCACCACACCGTCCCCATGCACAACCCCCAGCCTCACTGCTGGAGATGCGAGATTGGCACCCGGCACCCAGCCGAAATGCCTGCAAAGGGGCTCCTGGGCACCCAGACCTGCTTCTCCTTGGGAAACCTGTCCTCGAGCTCGTGTCCCGCGCAGCCCCAGAGGGGTGAGGTGTGCGATGGAAAGCCGTAGGGTGAGCTGAGCTCAGCCCCTGCAGCAATAAGGGCAGCCGGGTGTGCAGTGCTTTGAGCAGAGCTGGGTGCTGCTGTGAGATGAGCGCCGTGCCTCGCGTGGGGGCCCGCAGCCAGCCCACTGCAGCCCGGCACCGGGACCAGGGCAGCTGGGTTGTGCTGCTCCCCTGCCCTCCAGGGGACTGAACCCCACACGCCGTGGGGCTGCACCCTCAGCCACACACCAAGGGACAGGGACACCCACAGACCAACCCCGGCACCCTTAGGGACACACGCAGCCCCGAGGAGCTCTGGGGACTCCAAGCAGAGCGCGGTGACCCAGATGGGGACACGGGAAGCCGTGGGCCCTCGCCCTGGCAAAGAACACGCAGCAGCCATTTGTTGTTATTTTTTTTTTTTATAAAAAGATCAATGAAAAATTTATTTATAAATTTCGCACTCTGGGGCTACACGTCTATATCATACACTCAGGAATATGCTGTACTGTACAGACTTTATCCAGTTAGAAATGATCATATAGTGACCCACATACAGCTTCAATATAAGCCTAAAAATTCTTAACATTAATTAACATAATTAAAAAAGGTATTCGCATCTAAAGAAAAACCTACAGAAAAACTCCTTTCTGGAGCAATCTGTGCATCAGCTTCAATGTCTGCTTATTCCACTGACATTATCAATATATTCTTCTTACAAAAATAATAATAATAATTAAGAAGACGACCGCCATCAGGTGAGCAGCCACGCACGGAGGGCCCCCCCGCCTGCCTGTCGTGTGCCCCCCATTTTGGCACGAGGGTCAGCAGCACTATGAGCCAACGCGGGGGGTGGGGGAGCGGGGGGGCCCTCGTTTCTATCTCTGAATCGATCTGCATCCCTTTCACTTCTCAGGATGGAGAGAGGTGGGGGGCGCGGGGTTGCATAGAACATTGGAACTGGAGGGACGAGGGAGGGCAGCAGCTTTTCATTAAAATACACAGGGATGTAAAAATACATCAACTCACAATTTCAGAGCAACCCCCCCCCCCCCCCACCCCCCCCGGCGTACAGTTTCCAAAATCTCAGCGCGTCCACAGCTCCAGGAAGCTGGAAAGGAACAATACTTTTCTTCACCTCACTCAGCGATTCACACAGGAGATTCACAGTCTCAATAGGCATTTTATAAAAATATAAATATGGGTTACATCACGTTGTCTTTACAACACTGGACAGAGCTCCCTTTAGACCGGGTTTATAACCAAGATTTCTTTTTAAAAATCCATCTAGAACTTGGCTTTAAAGTACACTTTTCTTTCTTTTTTTTTTTTTTAATATCATGTCATAAATGTTATGACATTTCCATCGTGGCAAATCCGTTTAGGAAAAAAAAAAAAAAAAAAGAAAACAATTAAAAAATAAAATAAGATGTGCAACCATCCGGTAACGACAATACAGCCTCACTGGGAAAGGTTTTGTTCCCACCCCGGGAGCGGAGCCGGCGCTGCGCGGACCCGGAGCTCCTCCGCTTCCCCGGGTCTGCAGCGCTGCGCCTCCAACAGCACGGACTGCAGGTGGAACCGCGAGCCAAAGCAGAACGCTCAGTGCAACGGGAAATCACGGCAGAGTCGAGTTGTAGATACGGTAAAACTGGGGGGGGGGGGGAAGAAGGGGGAAAAAGGCGTGCTTCCCCTACATTTGAAACACTCACCGCCAGCATCCGACAAGAGCAGGCTCACAAACGTCACCCACCAATATACAGACATGATAAATAGTTTCAAGACGGCCCCAAAAACCAGCAGGTAAATATTTTCTTTCTTTCTTTTTTTTTTTTTTTCCTTTTTCCTTTTTAATCGTAACGGTTCGGGGGAGGGGAGCGAGGGCGGGGCGGCAGTGGTTGCTTTAGTGCAGACGGGCAGAAGAGGGATGAGGGGGTTCTGAAACGTTCCGCATTGTCCAAATGGACGCTTCTGTGCCACAGCAATAAAAGCAGCATTGCCATTAGACGTGCAGTCACTTCGAAATGCGATCGGGGCGGCTCGCTCCTCCCCCTCCCTTTCCTTTATAAATATATATATCTCGGTTCGGGCACATATATATATATATAT